TCCCACCGCGGAACAACACGTGGAAGTGCAATTCATCGTCGGTTCCTTGGCTGGTCCTGGATTGTTGAACTGTTTGGAAGTAAGAGAAATTATTAGAGCAGCGTAATTTAAATTGCGAGATTTTAGCTTTGTGGATCTTTTAAATGACAGTGACAGAAAGGAGTCCCCATCAAGTACTTCATGTGCAGCATCTGATTTAATTTCCGTTCTTAGGATGGTTTTACTGGCCAAACTGTTTTACTTGTTCTGGAAAATATTTTTGTTCTCTTTTATCTTCTGAAAATTGTCATTTGTAATATTTAAATTTAGTTCTTTTAATTTACAATTTTAGGACATTTCATGTAGTTTAAATTCGTAGCTGTCATTCGTCGCCTCCTATTTAAAACAAAGTAACTATTGCAAAGTCTATTTTGATGACTCATGACAGTAGCTGCATTTAAAATAAAGTATCATTTTTTTATTAATCTGTACGGCCTTCCTCGTTGTAGCTGTCGGACCAGAAAGCACCCGCTAAGAGACTGGTATGAGCTCATGCCACGTGATTTGGGTCTTCCCGTGTTTTCACTCCCTTTTCTTCGCAGCCGGCTCGTTCTCGCTCTCTCACGTCTTTGAACTTTTGACAGAGAATTTCTCTTTTTGGGTTTTTTTTCCTGCACTTTTCTGTTCCCTTCCCAAGTTCATTCGTTTCACTTTTTGCCTTTCTTTGGCTTCCCGCCTCAGCCCTCAGTGCTCCATCAGTGCGTGGAAGCTGCTGCCGGAGAGGAAAGCTGTTCTCGCTCACGTGGTTTCCCTTCGCCACGCTGGCCATGTTCGTCCCTGGGACGCGTGCGGCTCGCGCGTCGCCAGCGCCCCGAAAGCCTGGCCCTTCGCTTGGGCAGCAGAAGCGTTTCCAACCACACCAAAGCTGCGGCACCCGGTCACTGACGTTTGGGCAGCGCCAGGCAAAGAACGATCATGTTCGAGTAATGACAGACCCCCGCCTTCCCGCAGCGAGGAGAGGTTCACCCTGCCAGGCTGCGCTTGGTCCCGCCGCGGTCACCCTGCGGGGAGGAGGGTGAGAGCGGTCCCTGCCTGGCGCGGCGGTGGCGGCAGCAGGGAGGAGCCAGGTAAGCAGGGTTTAACTGTAAACCAGGACAACAGGCCGAGGTGGAAGTGCTTCCAGGTAAAGCGTTACAATTTAGACACCACCACGTTCCTGCCTGCCAAGAAATGCCTGTAAACACCGCCCCAGCCCCCTTCGGCAGCTGCATGCAGCCATGCCGTGTGCTGTCCTGGGCCCGGCGGCCCTGACCGGGGCTCCCACGGCATGAGATCGGTTCCCAAACCGCTGCTGCCACGCGCCATCGCACTGCCGGCCTTTGGGGCTGGAGCAGG